CAAACAAACAAACAAGTTTTGAAACCCGATATTAAGTGTTTTAAATCCTCAGACTTATCACTGTGCCACCGGGAGTGGGCCAATATAAACAAATAAAAAGGTTAATTTGTTGTTGTTATTGTTATAATGGTTGGAAGGGAGGAAGGAATATGCTTTCCTTAATGGTGAAACTTTCACGCATTCCAAGCCTTATTTTAGTGAGAGTGCAAATAGGTCAAACATTTATCAAGTTATAATTACAGGAGACACAACAAAGAGAAATGAAAACAGTTTAATTTTATCAGTTACCTATCAATACCTTACACCACCATCAGGAAGTAATGATAATAATTGGACGTCTCGTGAGCGAAGACGTTTAATGATTAAATAAACGTAATTATACTAAACTGTTCAGGCATGGCAGATGTTTTCTACGGTCTTCGAATAAACAAATCAAGTTTGATCTTCTCCATATAGTTCTCAGAGTTTCTCAAGGATAACTTGTTAGAATGAACAGCTGGCCCGTTCCACGAACGGTTCGAAAGATGAAATAAATATGTTCAGTAATTTCCGTTAAAGCACGAAGTATGCTAAGTACTTTCACCTGTGGGAGGAATTAGAAATTACGTAGAATACTTACTGTGTTTTATGTGGTGATAAGAGGTACAATCATATCCCTAGAAATTCCTTTAAAATTAGACAAGTAGCATTAGTTAAATATAGATAATAAAAAAAACTAACCACTAGTTATAAAATCAAAATAATTTAGTTTTTTTTTGTCAAAAATGTGTGTAATGAATACTATGTTCCAATAATATCTTTAGATTTAAAATTATACAACTTATTTAGGTACATTTTAGCGAGGCTGTTGATGTTGTTTTGCTTGAATGTTAGAACAAGTATATTAATCCATAGGATTATCTTACACTATTGGCAGAAAACAATTTTGTAATTTCAGAAATGACCCTAATGAACAAGGCTTTGAAGATAAAAGTCAAAGACGTATTTTTATTCTGCATGCATTTCAAGCCTTATTTTAGCCAAACAATGATCAGGTTATAACTATGTATGTGAATAGTGGGATTGACTATCGCTATAATAACGTTCTTTCAGTTGAAAGTGCGAAATGATAACACTACGACTCGAACCCAAGACCTTGGGTTTCTCAGTTTCATACGCTAACAACTAGGCCACGCTCGACCTGTCAGAGTTATCAATGGTGTACAAAATAAAGCAATGTAGAAAAAGTCAATAATAAATTTTCGTTCTTTTTTGTAATAACACAATGAAACATGTGTACATAATGAATAACTGTCAAAACAAAATTTTTGTTTCTAAATACTACGTCATGGATGATTAATTTTTGTTTCTGTTGTGTGTTTTAGGAGCCTTTGTTTTTCACGCTTCTCGGGTTGATTACCGCTACTACTATACTAGCAGTAGATTATGTACACCATCCTATCCAGTATCATTCCCAGACAGACAGAGGAACTTACAATTTCGGTTATGACACAGGCCTTTTTGGAGCACACTCTTTTCGCCAAGAACATCGCGATGAAAATGGAATCGTGCGAGGTCGCTATGGCTACACGGATCCGCATGGAAAACTCCGCGTTGTCCATTACGAAGCTGGAACGTTTGGCTATCACGCTTGGGGTGATGTATATCCAGATGGTTGGCCGCAGGGTCATTTGCCTCCAAACTCCTTGGACGTCTCTGGTTCTTCTAGTGATAAATTTTCTTCACAGGCCACTAAGATTATAGAAACTTCTGTTTCTTCACCCATAAGGTTTCCTAAATCTTCAAATATTCTCCAGGCAAACACTCACTCAACTGAAAATGATTTTATCAATTCTGAACACAAAATCACAAAATATCCCCAACCTTCTTTCGAAGAGCGATATCAATCTTCACCAGCTATACCTAACATTGACCAATATAAAAAATCAAGATATTCATTTCTGAAAGCCGCTTATTCTTCTAATTGGTACAAGTTTCTTCCATCAAAAACCTCTCTGGATACTATTGAACGATCTGGTTTACACAAAAGTGAAGTCTCAGCTTTTAGGAGCAACGGATATTCGACGGCGATTCTCGAAAATAATGGGGACATTACCAAGAGAACGGAAGACACTGAAGATGACACTGAGGATTTTACGTCAGCTACCAGCAGCAACCATATGTCTACTATATATATTAAAGACAGCGAAAATATATCTAGAAATACCGATATAAGAGGTAGATCACATCCGAATAAAAAAAGTATCGAGGTTTCATCTGGGATCATTAACCAAAGCGAAGTTCTGACGTCAAATACTGCCAACACTGGAGTGTCAAGTACGAGAAGAAATGACAGAGAAACTTCTAATATGAAAAATGTAGACGATATTGGGGGTCCGAGGACTACGGACAACAAAAAATCAGTTGATTATACACGTTGGTGAGACTGAAATTCCTACTAACTAAGACTTTCCGTGGATAGTGAGTTCGCCTTAAAGAACTAAAAAGATCAAATCCTCAGAAACTTGTCTCTTACCCATAACTAATACTACGAACATTAACGATATTTCATTTCCAACAATCCATCGGTAAAAAAAAAGAGTCTAAACATTCAAGTTATAGGTTTAGTTGCTTCAAATCCACTTGTTTCCTCTCGCACTGTTAAGCACATCATAACAACTCCGAAATCATAGACTTCTACAATAAAAACTTTTTTGGCAAGTCCACAGAAATCAAGTGCTCGCAGACCACATCTACATAGGAAGAGTTTGTTTGTTTGTTTGCTGTTAACCACAAAGCTACACAATGGGCTAACTTTACTGTGCCCATCTAAGGATATCGAAACACGGTTTTTAGCGTTGTAAGCCTTCAGACATACCGAGAGCATGTAGCAAGAGAAAACATTTTCCATTCTTATTGTCCCTCTTTAGTTTATCCTAATGAGACCTATCTGGTACAGTCAGTGTCCCAGTAACTTGTGTTAAACACTAAAAACACGCCCAATTCTTCCAGAATACTTCTCATAATATTTAGTTCTAAGTGTATTAAACACAGGACAAGTTTCATTAAATCGTTGTGTAGTGGCTGAGTGATTGGTGCGAAAATATCTTAAGATAAGTGATCACCGATACGATCAGATTTATCAAAGCAAATAGACATAGAAAGAGAAACCTATATTTGAACGAATAAAAATATACCATTTCAAACGACTTTAAATATTTAAGTGTATCTTATAATAATAATAGCGTAATCACATATGAACATAAACTGGTGTCCGAATGCTACGCCAAATTAATAAAGTAAGAAGTTTGATAGAAAACCGTGTTAATCTAAGAAAAAAAAAACTGGTTTGTTGTTGGCTGAAGAGCAAACTCCATTTTGTAAAGTGCTGGAGCCTCTGTATTTTATCTTACTTATACGCTTAAGTGGCCTTTAAACGAAATTTTAAATCTAAATATGTTTCAAAAAATTAAAAATAGATATTAAAGACAGTCGCTCAATGAGTTTATGAAAGGCATTTCTATGTTATCTATAATAAACTAATCCTACACACACACACACACACTTTATGCTTCGTGTAATCTGCGTTAGTATTTAGTTGCTACAAATTAACATATTGTTAATAAGAGCAAAGCACGCCTGGCTTAGTAAGTTTGAAAAGTATTAATATAGTTTACTGATTAACGCAGATTATTTGAAATAATAGTTTTTTCTTTTGTTGTTTTTTTTTGAAATAACTAAATTCCTAGGTGTTTCTGAAATTGTGGTGTCAATTTAATTTACTAGCAACTGCGAAGAAAGTAATAAAAATATTTGTATAGAACGTATTTCATTGCTCTGTCTCTTAAAGTACACATATACAGTAACATCAAAGAAAAGTCATGCGATGACTTAGCGAGAGTATAAAGACTATCCATTGTCACAAAGAAGCGAAGAAATAACAACTGTTAAATAAACGAAAAATATTAATAATGATGATTAATTGAAATATACCATACACCACGAAAATAACTATATAATTTCGCATACAAAATCGCTATCTGCACGATCAATGAACGTTTAGATATGAAAGCATAATAAAATTTTATTTACTAACCTGTTATTTTTAAAAGCCATTAAAAGTTTACTTTTCCTTTACTTGTTCTACTAGTTTAGAAGATAAATACAAAATTGGGAATATAAAACCCTACAAAGAGAGATCGTAAAAAAGTAAGGAAAGAAGGCTGGAGATAATGTAGACGTTATTTACTCAAACTACAAACCCTTATTTTGCTCCATACTGTTACCTAGAATTATAAAATACAGTAGTGTGTCGTGCAAAACAAAACAACCTACAGAACACTATGTGTTATTAACAGGTGTGATATTTTAGCAGTTTTCCACTTTTTTGTGTCTCCGACTGGGATAATCCAAACTATCACATATTTTCAGTGGGTGTGTTCTACTAGACCTGTACTTCACATACTAAATTTCATGGCAATCCATTTAGAAATACACGAAATATAACATCTCTAATTTTGATTGAATTTTTTCCTTTTTTTTTTTTAGCCGCGGCATAGCGGCTCATAGAATGGCTCCGAGTTTTTCAAGTACAAACGTTTAGCTCATAGCCCCGTCATCTCTCGACCGATTTGAGATCGAATTACAATTTTGGATTCAGGAGGTCAAACTATTTCCATTGATGTATTTGACCACGCTCAAGGTCTTATAGATTAACTTACTCTAATCCTGCCTGAAAGAATTTCTCATTTGAGGGTAGGCTCGAAGAGACCCTGATGAGTAATAAAATCGAATCGGGTATACGCGCACCCCACGCTTGTTATTGATAGAGCACAAAATATAGCTAATAAAAAGGAAAAAAAAAGATCTCCTAGATTAATTTACTCTAATCCTTCCCTTCAAGAATTTGAAGTGCCGCGGCTATTGAGGATTCCCTCTTCTTTTTCTTCGTAAAGAAAGTACGGAACTTTATTTGATAGAAAAACATACTTAACTTTCATGGATTTCTTTTTCAAATTTGGTACACTGATGGATATTTACATTCTACGATTAGTTGTCAAAGTTCGCCTAAATATGTGCAAAATTATTTAATAAAAACCGTTCAATTTGGACCAAAATGTTTGCGCACGCTTACGCAAAAAAAGACAGTGAACTATCGGTCTGGAATTTTTACTACAGGTTCACCTAAGAGTAAAGGTGGACATTTTTTAGTTTTTTGTCATTCGGGTTAAAGATGGCTGATTTATAGCAGTAAAACTATAGGGTGATACATAAGTATTGGTTAGGTCAAGCAAACTAAATTAACAGTTTCTAACTCAAGTTATCAAAAGAATCATATGGGAAGACGGTTATTATTCATTGCCAACTTTTAAGCACAAATTTGCTAAATTTATGAAATTCTCCTAATTAAAGAGCATTTAGCGTCACGTGGTATTAGTGTAAATAATTATGCTTGATACCGCTGCACCGAGTACATACGGGTGATGACACAAAACTCTTAATCTAGTGTTCTAGGAAGTTATTAACATTATTTTAGAGGGGGAACTAGTACTACATATATATGTGGTTTGTTCTGTACGAATAATAGGGTTGCGATCTTGAAGCTAATGTTGGTTATTATCAAGTGTCACTTTCTTACTTGCTGTGGTTTGTTGGTGTGTATTGACAAAATATCATGATATTTAATCAAAAACACATTAGGTGTGAAAAAAAAAGGTGTGGCCAAAAAAGGACTGAGTTCGGTTCGGTCAATATCGGGCTTTAGGTTTTTGCAGACCTGGGTGGGTCAGGTTCAACCTAGACCTCTTCCTCCCTCCGTTACCGTGTGTTAGAAGTATACTGTAAAATACTATTTAGAAATTCAAGTAAACAGGGCTAGAAGATCCATTATTTTAACACTGTTTACACTTCCCTTACCAGGGTCGATGTCCATGAATGCAATACATAACATTTTGTGTTTCTGTCACACTTCGCTTCATTTAGTCGATGTAAAAAACAGTTCATTGGTAATTTCAACACTTTTCAGGATTATCATATCAAGAATGCATTTCACATAAAACCCTTTAACTACACAGTCAAGTTAATACGGTAAGTTCTGGTATTGGGTGATTTATAACTTTTATATAAGTAAGGAATTCATAATAATTCTGATAATGTGTGGGATTATTGGTGTGAAGTGTTTCTTGGCTATTTGTATTAATAATGTGATATCATCTGATTGGTTTAGTGGATTTTGGTATCCTTGAATAAATTCTGTAAAAGTGCTTTTAACTGCTTTGAAAATAGGACTGTTTATTGATAGTGATTGTTGGTTATTTGCATTTAGTTGTTGTTCTGTACTTGTTTTCTCATTCTTCCGTGTTTGTTTTATTTGCTTTTTATTTGGTGAGTGTACGGCGTCAGCATAGGTGTATGCTTGAGTAATGTGTGTGTTTGAGGTTGTGGTTATCGATGGTGTTGGTAATAATGGTGTTTTTCTTGGCTGTCTTTTGTGTTTGATATGTTTCCTATGTTGGTGTGTTTGTTTGTGCGGGTTGAATATTGTAACTTATTTTATATAATCTTTGTTTGATACTCTTGCATTCAGGGTAACGTAACTTTGTAGTTTGCTGTGTGTTTTTGTTGCATTCAGGGTAACGTAACTTTGTAGTTTGCTGTGTGTTTTTGTTGCATTCAGGGTAACGTAACTTGGTACTCTGCTGTGTGTTTTTGTTGGCAATTACGGGTGTTTCATTTTCGCTGGTACATTCAGTAATGTTGTGTTTTCCATGTTATGAAGAGATTGACAAGCAAACGCTACGTGTCCGTAATTAATGTTGTGGTTTCCATGTTATGAAGAGATTGACAAGCAAACACTACGTGTCCGTAATTAATGTTATGGTTTCCATGTTATGAAGAGATTGAAAAGCAAACACTACGTGTCCGTAATTAATGTTATGGTTTCCATGTTATGAAGAGATTGACAAGCAAACACTACGTGTCCGTAACGTTGACAGTTATGACACCGCGTTACGTCTACTGCGAGTATTTTATTTTCTTCAACTCGAAATCTCCGATACCATTTGATATCATACTCTATATAACTTGGATTTCATTAGCTATTTTTATCATGTTTGTATGTGTCTGTGTTCTTGCAGATGTAATTCTTTCAACTTTAGTGAAAGCAATGTCGTGTTATTTGAGCTCATCCTGCACTTGCTCTATTGTAATAGTGTAGTGTATACCCTTTATTACAAAGGCGTTGGTTTTCGGGTTTGTTTCCAGGTAGATGAATTGAGATTTTTCCTGGCTTGAAGGCATCTTCTGGTTATTCTTTAAGAAGACTATTAAGATAAGCCTTACAGAACCTTTAATCAGAACTCCGTCTTTGGCAAGGCGTTTGATACTCACAATTTGTACGTTTGCAAGTTCAGGTTCTCTATAACTGCCTGATATGCATGTTTTGGCGAGTGTGTTTGTTTAGGTTTTCCTTGGAATGTTTGTTGTGTGGTTTGCTTTTCAATGTTATTTGCTGGTGTACGTTTTCTTGTTTTTACTGTTGTAAAACCAGCTGTTGGTTTGGGTTGCGTTTGAAATTCATTTAGTGTATTAGCATCCATACCTCAGTGCCCGTGCTAGTACTTTCTTCTTTATTTTTTCTGTTTTCAAGTTCTATAACTGTACTAGCATCGGTCACATCAGCCGCCGTGTTGGTACTTTCTTCACTTGTTCTACTGTCTACAATTTATTTGAATGTATTATCATCCGTCACCTCACTGACTGTTGTAATACTTTCGTCGTTGTTTTGTTTGTTCTGTAATCTTTTCCTATTCTTTCTTTTTGGTTTTGTACATTTAGTATGTTATTTTTTACTATCAAAACTAGCGAGTTTAGCTGCGGGCTTAACATAAGTCTATCCTTAAAACCATCTATGCCAGACTTACCTAAAAGAAGAGGTTTTTGGGGCTTATTCGAAGAGTTATTTTGCATGTAGTTCTTAGCCGCATACTGTTGAAGTTTTGTTTGCTGGAAGTAAGGTTCGGTTTTCCGCCGAGGCGGGTCCGCGTTGTACTTCTTGAGGTACGATTCTGTTTGTTTGTTTGCAGTTAAGCTCAAAGCTACACAGTGGGCTATCTGTGTTTTGCCCAACATGGATATCGAAACCCCGTTTCTAGTGTTGTAAGTCCGCAGACGTACCACTCTGCCACTGGGGGCAGGTACGATTCAAAAATAGGTGTTTATGCAGCTTGCACCTTAACTGAGGGAGTTTCAATGTAGTTTGCTATAACACAAGAGTAGAAAATATTCTTGATTTTTCACGTAGAGAGAACAAGGTGCGTGTTGACAGTTTCACAGTCAGTGCAAGAATCCAAGGTTTGAGTATGCGACTTAATAGAATGAAATCAAAATTGACG